TGGAATTAGTGTGCTGAAAACTATCTGAAATCCTATATCCACTGCAACATTATCCACAATAACAAGATCGGGAACCAACTTGTCTGTCACTGGTGAGTGGATAAAGCAAATGTAATATATAATAGAGCATTGTTCAGCTTTTAAAAGAAGGAAATCCTGTTTCTTGTGACAATATGGATGAACCTAGAGGGTGTTATATTAAGTAAAATGAGTCTGGCACAGACAGATAAAAACCACATGATCTCTCTTATGTGGTATCTGAAAAGATTGAACTCAAGAGAGGCAGAGAGGAGAATGGGGTTTACCAGGGACCAGAGGCTGGGGTGGTGGTGACAATTTATTAAAAGAATTACAAAATTTCAATTAAGCAGGGGGAATAAGTTCCGAGATCTAGTGCACAACACCTGACTATAGTAAGTGATGTTATATTGTGGTCCTGAAAGTGGCCTTAGAGGAGATTTTATGTTCTCAACCACAAGACGGATAAGCATGTGAGGTGATGCATATATTAATTGGCTCCATGTAGCCACTTCACAATATACACCTATTTCAAAATGTCATGTTGTACATGACAGATTGATAAAACTTTTGTTGATTAAAAATAATTTTAAAAAGGAAGGCCTGTTCTGTGATGATAAAGGTCTTTGTGTTCGTAGTTTAAAATTCAGCAATTTTTCAAATTGTGTTTTTAAATAAAGTGTGTAATTCCATGGTGACACTTTAGTGAGATATTTTAGTGGGGTGATGGTGGTGGTACACACTACGAGCTCAGTTACTTCTTATTGAATGTGTGATCAAAAGACAGGCACATCTTTTTTTCTTCCCTTTGGCTCACTCTCCAGGGAAGCTCTGAGAAGAAAATAATTCCTTTCCTCTCTAGACCGGAGTGCCCTGCAGAGTAGAGTGAGCTGGCTGTGGAGTAGGAAAGGCAGGCCCAAACTGGCTTTCGTTGCAGAGGTGGAAGTAAGGGTGCCTTAGTTACTCTTCTATCATTGCTGAGACAAAATGTCTAACACCCAAAGCTAAAGGGAGAAAGATTTATTTATCTCATACTTTGGAGAGTCCATATACATGGCAGAGGGGCAACAGCTCATGATGTAGCACAGTGAAAGCAACAGGGGAAGATGCAACTCTTTCATCCCTTATATTGTCACAGGCTACCCGCCCTAGGACAGGTGTAGCACTCACACCCTTAATCCCAGCCAGAACTATGCTAAGCCACTCAGTGGACTGGTTTCCTAATTGCACACCCTTAATTTGAGCATCACACACTCTAGATTCAGCCACCTTTGAAAAAGCACTGTGACCTTATGAGGCTTTGGGGAGGCATCTATACACAAAACAGAGTGCACCCCAGGTAGAGCGGCAGGGAGAAGGAACACAGAGCCACTTCAGCTCCAGGCTGTGGCAACAGAATCCTTTTCTGTCCTGGTCTCTCCTGTTTCCTGATCTTTGGTTTTGGTGTAAAGGTAGTACTCTCTGTGCAAGCCAAATACTTTTCAATATTAAGCAGGCAGCATAAGGCATTAGCCACGTGGTTCTTTGCTGTCTAACATGGCCTGCGTGTCTGAGAACAGTTCTCATTGACTGCCTTCCTCTTAATTGTCTTCAGTAGCCTTTCTCACAGTTCTTTGCTTAAATGATCAGCAGATCTATCATTTGATCAGTTTGGTAGCCATGGTAGAATCATTTTCCTTTGTGGGAGAATGCAGAGAGGAATCGGAGGATGGAAACCTGGAGGCTCCTTAGCTTCTCCTTAGCTTTTTGCAGCTGAATGTGCACAAGGTGCCCAAAGGTCTGTACTGTTTCTTCAGCAGGGGCTGAGCTAAGAGACTTTGCTGCTAATCGCCCTTGAGTCTCCTGGGCACGGATTTATCCCAGGGATTTGGCACAGAGTGTGGGCCCAGTGTTCTTTCTGGGTGAATGAGGGCAAGCAGGATTATGTCAGTATCATTAGATTTAAGCCTGTCCACCCCACTTAGACTTACTCTATGTCTTGCTTAACTGGGAAGTTCAATAGCTTATTTACTCAAAACTTGGGGGGGACGTTGAGCATAATTAATTTAAGTTAATGACTAGTGTTCAAATGGTTTGCTGTAGTGAAACACCTTGGTGACGATTTATGAAGCTTGAATCTTATTTTATGCATGAGTAACATTAGCTTGACCCACATGTAGGGGTTTAACTGTTCTTCACATTTTATGGGATCTGGAACTGGAAAATATATG